GTGGAAGGATCGCCGGAGCCCAGCAGGTAGAGGGTGCGGTGGCCGGGAGCAGCCACTGCACTCCAGTCTGGGCGACAGAGTGAGACTCCAACTCAAAAAAAAAAAAAAAATTAATAAATAAAATAAAATTGTTTCTAAATTTCTAACTAGAAGAATAAATGTCACCTTTTATAAAGAATAATGTAATACTAATTAATGGAATAATAATTATTATAGTTTGCAAAAGACTGTCTAGTCATACTTGAGTATCTGAATAGAACATATAAAAAAGTATTCTGCAATAGTTTAGATACTAAGAAAAATTTTAAAGTGTTTAAGGATTTTAAAATTTCATTTTGTTGTTTTATTTGCCAGTGCTGATTTCTTTAGGACAGAGACACAGAGCACTTCAAAACTATTTACATAGCATGTCAGCTATGTAATTTTTTTTTTTTTTTTGAGTTGGAGTCTCACTTGGTTGCCCAGACTGGAGTGCAGTGGCCACTCCCGGCCACCACAGCCTCGCCTGCTGGAATCCGGCGATCCTTCTGCCTCAGCCTTCCGAGTAACCGGAATTATAGGCATGCACTACCACGCCCGGCTGATTTTTTTTTATTTATTGTAGAGATGAGGTCTCGCTGCCCAAGCGGGTCTCGAACCCGCTTGCTCAGGCAATCCACTCTCCTCAGCCTCCCAAAGGCGCGGGATTACAGGCTGAGCCACCGAGCCCGGCTGAGGAAGTGTTTCTAAAACCCTTAGAAGAGTGGAAAAACTGATAGTAAAGGACAGAAAAAGAGGACAATTATCTAAAACAAATACTTGCAGATCATATATACCAACATGTATGTGAGCACACAAATGAAATTTCCACTTTATGAGTCCAGAAAAAATTTATATTTTAAGTAATCCACTCTTCATTCTAGGGATCTTCTGGGAGGAAAACTGTGATACTATTGCCTAATGTGTATATTTATTCAATATATCTATGAAAGAAGGAAAAAAGTTGGGAGAAAGATGAAGAAAAACAGAGAAGGATGGAGAAGAAAGAAAGAAAGGAGGGAAAAAGAAAAAAATCAAGATTCTCTACTAGAAAATCTGTTAATGGGCAAAGTCAATGGGGATCAAATGTAGAAAAGCAATTTGACATCGTTAATACACTGCAAACCTCCCCACTGAATACTTATTTTCTGGAATAAGCATAAAAAGCCCATATGATAAAGCTGTGATGTAACATCTCTTGAATTTTTCTTCTGTATTTTGGGAGCATTTCTGAAAAGGGAGCACTAGTTCTTCTTCTCCGTCATCCTAAAAGGACTATCATCATAGATTAGGCCTATTAAGGCTTCTCAAAAAGCATGATGTATGCTGCTTATTTTATATATCCTTATAGTTTCTAATTCAATAGGTCTGGGGCAGGCCCAAGAATTTGCTTTCTAATAAGTTCCCAGACAATGTTGATGCTTCTGGTCTGGAAAGGCTGACTTTCAGGAAGCTCTGAACGCCTATAGCAAGGACAGAAAATCTTAAGTAAAGTCATGTTTTTAAAGCGCTAGGAGAGTGGTCAAAGCCAAGATCTAGCACGGTTCTGGCACTCCATACCTATTGAGTGAATGAGTGGATGAATGAATGATAAATGAGTGGCATTGTTTTTTGCTATTATCTTCTATGAATGGCCTCAAGAAGCAGAACACCATAGTGAACAGGAACATAGGCTTTGCAATTAGATGCATTAAGGTTCAGATCTTGCCTCTCCACTTCCCACTTACTGGCTTTGCAGTCATAATATCTACCTTATCTAGTTGTTCTGAAGAATAAGAATTATGACCATAAAGCTGGCCTAGAACCTGGAATACCTTAAAGACACACTATGTGATGCTTATTTTCTGCTGTAGCTCCAAGGCTCCCAAGAGTTGCATATGCTAGCTCATAGGCAATGTACTTCAGGACTGGATCACCTGACACTAAGATAATCAGTAGTCAGCCACCAAACACTTACCACAGTTATTGGTAAAAGAGGGCCTAGCCAGCTCAGGGTTCATGAGTATATAAAAGGCAAACAGCCACACAAACGACAAGTATACAGCTAATTTACCTACCTGCTAACACAACATTATTGTGCAAAAAAGGATACCCTTAGCTTCATCAAACAGAGAGTAAGTGAACCACAGAGAAATAAAAACACTCATGGGTTCACTAAGTTTGAATAAGGAGCTAGAATCAAACACTTTTTTCATAAACTTTCTGTCCACTGCACCCATTGGATCCATATTGCTTCTGAGAATGAACCCAAGTAACTGTCTTAACAGAATAATCTTCCTTTTCCCAGACAGGATGGCAATTAAATGAAAAGAATATCTACACTTCAATGAAAAAAATCCATTCCTATAAAAGTCTCAAAGACTATTACTAAGTGCCTTATTCAAACATTGTTCAATTCATACACCAAGAGCTTTGGCTTTTTACACACAAGATTAATATTTCTGTAGAACATCTCCGAAAAGCAGAAGTAGGGAAATGTGATCATTTCTCAAATGTTCTGATGTTTTCCTACAGATAACTTGGTGCTCTGAATATTATGTGAATAGAGTGTAACAAGCAGACTTGAGCATTAGCCCTGACTGGCACTTTCTACTGAAATCTTCTCAAATGTGTACTATAAAATACCAGACAACTTGAAAACCAGTCAGCTATACAGCTTGATCTCAAGCAAAAATGTGAAGTGGGTTGTTTGTGTCCAGTGATGTTACTGTTGTAGATAAGTATTCTTTGCCCAGATGGGAGCCTGTAGAATTTTTGTCAATCAGAAACTCACTCTAAGCAACGACCTGAGGCACATTTGCCTTACTATTATAAAATAATTTTTTTAAAGATTTAGCTTTTTCTTCTTCTCAATGTTTGAGGCCCATTGCAAAATACAAGGCTAGGCTGTATGAGATGCCATATAGCTTAGGCTAGGCATGGGGGCCTAAGTAAATAATTTAAGATGCTGCAGCTTATGGGGAAACAAAAAATCAAAGCTAGTGAATTAATGGAATAAACAGGTCACCAAATATCTTCTCCAAACATATAACAATGAAACTTGACAAATGTATCAAAAACAATTACTTCAGTGATCTGAAAATTGACCAAATGCTTAGAACAAACTGATAAGCATTTATTAATGAAACACTACGAATTTTGATAAGAAAGTGGGAATCCATGGTAGTCTTGCCTAGGCTGCTCCCATTCTCTTTTCCAAGCTCTTTCTTCATGATAGTTCTATTAGGGTAATGCACATGGTAAGTAACCAGCAGTTTAACTATAGAAGGAAGATAACTTGTTAGGATTAGTAGTTGGATAATCTCATACCCAGCAAAGATATCAGTAGTAAGCAATCGAAGGACAAGTAAATTGGAACAATGAATTTTGATAACTGAGGTTGAATATCTGAGGAGCTCTAACTGTCCAGACAGAAATTTAACAAGGTAATATGTGAAATGAGACCATCATAAAGACATTTGATATTCTTGGCTGACTGGAGGTGATGTACATACACAGTGGAGATTGGGTGGAACTCAAGCTATTCACATAGTGCTGTCTTACCAGGAGCCTCTGTGTTTTGCAGAGGAGATACCAGAATGTCTGGCGAGAAGTAAAAGAAGGAGCAGGCTGGCTTAAAAACTGCCTGAAATGTGAATGTGTTCCTGAATTCATATGTAGACTTTTCAACTAAGAGTGGGACTCTTGCTGGCTTGAGATTATTGAGACCCATCTCTGATCAATTATTGACTGACCATTGGGATATGCAGACTCCTAAGAAGTCTTGAAAATATGAACATGGGTTGGAGGGTGAGCAGAGAGTACTGGCAAAAACTCCTGGGAAAAAAAAACATCAGAACCCAGAATGCTACAATATGATATCTAAAAATATCCCATATTCAACAAAAAAAATTATAAGTCATGCAAAGAAACAGGAACGTGTTACTCATACTGGAGCGAGGAGAAACAGTTAATAGACTTTGCTGTACATGTCCTCAAATGTCAAATTTATCAGACAACAACTTTAACTCAATATTATACATATGTTCAAAGAATTCAAAAAACTAAAATGTTAAGAGTGAAAGAAAAGTATCATGACAATGATCCAAAAAATAGAAGACTTCAATAAAGATATAGAAATGATTTTTAAAATACAAATGAAAATTCTAGCAATAAAAATACAACAAGTGGAATATAAATTTCACTTCAGGGGCTCAATGACAGATATGAGACAACAGAATTAAATTGGTATTACAATAAAATAGATTATGATTAGTTAAGATGCATAATTATAGGCCATCATTTGCTAACCTTTGTGCTAGGCTATAGAACATTTCTCAATAAATTTAAAGGATCAAAATAACATAAAATATGCTCTATGACTAAAACAGCATTAAATTAGAAATCAACAAAATAAAGATATCTGATAAGCCCTCAAATATTTGGAGATTAAACAGTACAATTCTAACACCCATGAGTCAAAATGATTGCAAAATATTTTGAACAGAATTGAAAAGAAAAACACAAAATATCAATATTTATGGTGTGCTCTAAAGCAGTGATTATAAGGAAATGTAGAGCTTATAAAAAGGTAAAAATCTTATGTCACTAACTTAAGCTTCCTATTTAGCAAACTAGAAAAATAAGAGCAAGCTAAACCTTAGTAAACATTAAAAAGAAATGATATAGAATAACATGAAAATCAAAGAAATAGAAAAAATATATTAAAAAATGAAACCAAAAAATAATTATTTTTAAAAATCAACAAAATTGATGTCTTTAACAAGAAAGAAAGGAAGGAAGAAAGGAAGGAAGGAAGGAAGGAAGGAAGGAAGGAAGGAAGGAAGGAAGGAAGGAAGGAATGATGGATGGATCAAATTACCAAACTCAGGAAGAAAAGAGGAGACATCAGAACCAATCCTACAGAAATAAAAAGAACTCTGCTTTCTGCCCGTGGACACTGCTGAGGAAGCATCGCTAAAGTCTCTCTCCCTGCCGCGGTCATGTCTAAGTCAGAGTCCTCCAAGGAGCCCGAACAGCTGCGGAAGCTCTTCATCGGAGGGCTGAGCTTCGAAACCACCGACGATAGCCTGAGGAGACATTTTGAGCAATGGGGAACCTCACAGACTGCGTGGTAATGAGCGACCCGAACACCAAGCACTCCAGGGGCTTTAGGTTTGTCAGGTATGCCACTGTGGAGGAGGTGGACGCAGCCATGAATGCGAGGCCCCACAAGGTGGACGGAAGAGTTGTGGAACCAAAGAGAGCTGTCTGGAGGGAGGATTCTCAAAGACCAGGTGCCCACTTAACTGGAAAAAAAGTATTTGTTGGTGGCATTAAAGAAGATACTGAAGAACATCACCTAAGAGATTATTTTGAACAGTATGGGAAAATTGAAGTGAATGAAATCATGACTGACTGTGGCAGTGGCAAGAAAAGGGGATTTGCCTTCGTAAACTTTGACGACCATGACTCTGTGGATAAAATTGTCATTCAGAAATACCATACTGTGAATGGCCACAACTGTGAAGTAAGGAAAGCCCTGTCAAAGCAAGAGATGGCTAGTGCTTCATCCAGCCAAAGAGGTCGAAGTGGTTCTGGAAACTTTGGCAGTGGTCATGGCGGTGGTTTCGGTGGGAATGACAACTTTGGTCGTGGGGGAAACTTCAGTGGTCGAGGTGGCTTTGGAGGCAGTCGTGGTGGTGCATATGGTGGCAGTGGGGATGGCTATAATGGATTTGATAATGATGGAAGCAATTTTGGAGGTGGTGGATGCTACAATGATTTTGGCAATTACAACAATCAGTCTTCAAATTTTGGACCCATGAAGGGGGGAAACTTTGGAGGCAGAAGCTCTGGCCCCTATGGTGGTGGAGGCCAATACTTTGCCAAACCACGAAACCAAGGTAGCTTTGGTGGTTCCAGTAGCAGCAGTAGCTATGGCAGTGGCAGAAGATTTTAATTACTGCCAGAAAACAAAGCTTAGCAGGAGAGGAGAGCCAGAGAAGAGACAGGGAAGCTACAGGTTACAACAGATTTGTGAACCCAGCCAAGCAGAGTGGTGGCAGGGCCTAGCTGCCACAAAGACGACATGTTAAGACAATACTCACGTGTATGGGCAAAACACTCGAGGACTGTGTTTGTGACTAATTATATAACAGGATTTTAGTTTCTGTTCTGTGGAAAGTGTAAAGCATTCCAACAAAGGGTTTTAAGTGTAGTTTTTTTTTTTTTTTTTGCACCCATGCTGTTGATTGCTAAATGTAATAGTCTGATCATGATGCTGAATAAATGTGTCTTAAAAAAAAAAAAAGAATTCTAAGCCGGGCTCGGTGGCTCAACCTGTAATCCTGCTCTTTGGGAGGCTGAGGTGAGTGGATTGCCTGAGCCTGCGGGTTCGAGACCCACCTGAGCAACTTGGCGAGACCTCACCTCTACAATAAATCAAAAAATCAGCTGGGCATGGTAGCGCATGCCTGTAATTCCAGCTACTCAGAAGGCTGAGGCGGAAGGATCACCGGAGCCCGGCAGGTCGAGGCTGTGGTGGCCGGGAGTGGCCACTGCACTCCAGTCTGGTGAAAGAGTGAGACTCCAACTCAAACAAACAAACAAACAAAAAAGAATTCTATGGAAATTTTATTCACAATTTTATGCCAACAATTTCAACAATTTAGATGAAACAAATTTCTAGAAAGACATTACCAAACTGACTCAAGAATATGTACAAAATCTGTGTAGATCTATAAGCAGTAAAGAAATTGAATAATTTAAAAAATCTTCCCACAAAGAAATCCTCAGTCCTGGACAGTTTCACTGATCAATTCTATCAAATATTTGAAGACCAGTCTTTCAAATACTCTTTCAGAAAACAGAGAAAGAGAAAAGATTTTCCAAATCGTTCCATGAAGTCAATATTATCCTTTAACAAAGCTAGCCAAATACATCATAAGAAAATAAAACTGTAGATTAATATTCCTCAAAATACAGAGGAAAAATTCTTTTAAAAAATTAGAAAACTTGGCCGGGCTCGGTGGCTCAGCCTGTAATCCCAGCACTTTGGGAGACCAAGGCAAGTGGATTGCCTGAGCCTGAGGGTTTGAGACCCACCTAGACAACTTGGTAAGACCTCATCTTTACAATAAATCAAAACAAATTTAGCCAGGCATCGTAGCACACGCCTGTAGTTCCAGCTACTTGGAAGGCTGATGCGGAAGGATCCCTGGAGCCCAGCAGGTTGAGGCTGTGGTGTCTGGGAGCGTGCCACTGCACTCCAGTCTGGGCAACAGAGTGAGATTCCAACTCAAAAAAATATAATAAAATAAAATAAAATTAGAAAACCAAATAAGTCAACAGTTTTAAAATATTTTACACCATGACCAACTGGGAATATTTTTAAGAATACAAAGTTAGTTTAACATCTGAATGTCATCTTACATGACCATTTTACAGAGAAAGAAAAGGCACCGAGCAAAATTCCACATGCATTTGTGTTTCTAAAAAATGTTTAATTGGAATCAAACAGGGTTTCCTCAACTTCTACCAAAAAAATTAAGTGCATTTAGATGAATAGAAAGAAATAATTAAAATTGGTTTTATTTGCAGATGACATAATCTTGTATGGAGAAAATTCTAGGTAATACAGACACATGCGCACATGCGCACATGCGCGAGCACACACACACACACACACACACACACACACACACACACAAAGATGCATAATAGAAGACCAATATACAAAAACCTAATTTAGTTGCAACTACTAGTAATGAACAAGCTGAAAATTAAATTAAGAATATAATTCCATTCACAACAGTGTCCAAAAAAAATAAAATACTAATAACAAATCTAATAAAGTGCAAGACTTATATGCTGAAAACTATAAATGAGTGCCTAGTGAAATTAATGAAGGTATAAATAAATGGAGATATATTCATTGTTCATGAACTGAAAAACTTAATATTGTTAAGAGTATTAACTCAATATTGTTGAGAATATTGACAACTGTCAAATTTTTAAATACTGTTATGGCAAATCCTATCAAAACTCCAACAGACTTTTTAAAAAAATTGACAAGTTGATCAATATATAAATTTATATATAAATGAAAAAAAAACTAGAATAATCAGAACAATTTCCAAAAAGAAGAAGAAAGTTAGAAGACTTACACTAACTACCTGGTTTCAAAACTTACTAAGAAGCTATGGTAATCAAAACAGTAGTGTGGTATTGTTTTAAGTGTTGGCATATAGATCAGTGGAGAAAAATGGAATTTCAGGAATAAACACATAATTTGGACAGCTGATTTTTGACAAAGATGTCAAAACAATTTAATGGGAAAAAAAACTATAGTGTTTTAATACAAATGTTACTTGGATATATGCATTAAAAAAAACCTTAGACCTTTATCTCATACCACAGATATATACAAAAAAAAAATTCAAAATTGACTATAACCCTAAATGTTAGAACTTTACATTATAAAGCATCTAGAATAGTGGTTCTCAATCAGGATGATTTTGCCTGCCAAGGGCCATTTGACAATGTCTGGAGACATTTTTGCTTGTCATAACCAATGGGAAGGGGGAACAGGTGCTGATGTCAACTAGTGCATAAGACCATGGATGCTGCTATATATTCTACAATGCACATGACAGGCTCCCACAATGAAAGATTATCTGACTCAAAATATCAAGAATGCTACTATCAAATCCTGATATAGAAAAAAAAAACATAGAAAAAAAATCTCTGTGACTTGGATTATGTAAGTTTTTAGAAATGACACCAAAAGCACAATCCATTTTTTAAAAGATAAAACAGATTAAGAAAATGAATAACTTTTGCCCTTCTAATGACACCATTAAGAAAAAAGACAAGGCATAGACTGGAAGGAAATATTTGAAAATAGTATTTTTGGCAAATAATTTGTATCCAGGATATATTATAACCTGTTCAACTCAATAGTAGGACAAACAACTCAATTTTTAAATCGGCAAAATATTTAAATATAGTTTCACTAGAGGAGATACACAGATAGCTAAAACACATGTGAAAAGATGTTTAACTTTCTTAACTGTTAAGGAAATGCTAATTAAATCTCATGAAATATCAATGCAGATCCACTACAATGGTTATAATAAAATTAATAATTTTTAACAAGAACATGGAGAAGCAGGTTTCCTCATATAATGCAGGTGGTAATGTAAAATGGCACAGCCATTTTGGAAAACTGTCTGGCAGTTTCCTAAAGGTGAACCATAAATATATTAATATGAACTACAAATTCCACTCCTAGGAATCTACCTATAAGATGTAAGAACACATGCCCACACAAATGCTTGTGTATAAATGGTCATCGTGACATTACTCATAGTAGCAGAAGACTGGAAACAATTCAGGTGTCTATCAACTGTGAATGGAAAAATAAAACATGATAAAAATTAAAATAGAAAATAAATGTGGATAAATAAAGTATCCAGAAAAGTCAAATTTATAGTGATAGAATGAAGATCTTTGGTTGCCTGGGTTGAGGGGTAAAAGTGGAGACTGACTGCAAATGGAAATGAGAAGACGTTTCAGAATGAAGAAAATGTTATAAAACTTGTCTATGGTGATGGTTGTATGCGACTCTATACATTTAAAAAAATCATTAAATTGTACATTTTCAATGAGTGAATCTATAGCATAAGTTATGCATCAATAAATTTTTTTTTTAAAAAAACAGAGATAAAGAACTTAGTACCAATGTTACAATACAATGTTAGAAGAAGATTTAAGGCAAACAAACAAATATTGAAAAATGCCATCGAGTCTACTAATTGCGCTGTGCCTAGACTCTTGGCAGGTAGAAAGCATAAAGAGATATAACTTTGACTGGAAACTCCTCATTCCACATTCCCGGGATGAATGAGGGCGGATTTGTCACCGGTTTGTGTATAGGAAGCCCTAATGCTTTGAAGCATTTTTAAGATAGGAATGAGAATCTTAGGTCCCCTCCTATGACTCCCACCCATTAGGTCCTGGAGCTGACTAAGGTACTGACATTTGGCAACTCAAGATGCGGGTACAAGGTCTGAATTCATAATGCTTATTGCTGTGAGGAATTGAAACTGATAGAGGGGTGTACTAGATCATAACTAAAGGGTTGACAACCTTAAAGTCTCTCAAGAAACATCATTGTAATGAGGTGGGTACCTGTGTATCCAGGAAAGTCACCAACTAGAAGGCCATATGTTCCTTGTGTCAGTCTGTCTTTACATGAAGCATTGCAAAATAGATCAAATAAGATTCGCATCTGCTGAGAGTTCAGGAAGGGGCCAAACCACGGCCCTGGAATGACTCATAGATAGGAATTCACCTTTTGTGCCTTCAAAGAGGGCTGATAAAAATTACCAGTTGCTATGTTTCCAGCCAAACCAACCACAATTACAAAAAATATTACAACTTTCTTGTAGAATATCATATAAAATTTTTTTCTTCTTCTGAATGCTAACTTGAGCATATTTTTTTCTGCAGAAAAATACTCATATTTATCAACTTATTCATGGGCTCGGTCAGCAATTTTTAGCCTGTGAGAAATGACACCCTGTGTGGACCACAACAACTTGTAAGAACAGAAATGGATTTCTAATTTAATCATATCACAGTATTGGTCAATCTCAGAAAACATTTATTATTTCATGACAGAGATGGCAACATTTTGCAAATCGCTTTATAAATTTGTATCAGTCTCAGAAAAACTAACATCTTTTAATTTTAAATCAAAATGCTACAGTCTTCTCCTTCATTAAACACAGTTCTCTCAAAATATCTCAAAGCATTTCGTCAAAAATGGAATTAGTGAGCTTCAGACAGAGTCTTTGCATAAAATGTATCTATAATCCTTGCATAAATATAAATATATGGGCTTGTATTCTTATGCACAACAAATCTTGAATGCAATGTGCCTTAAAGTAGCATGAAAATCACTTGGAGAGTGGTTGCAAACTTGAATGTTTGAGATTCTTTGAATAAAGGTACTTCATAAATGGAAAACAAAATGATAATAAAAACAAACCCCAAACATTCTTTAAAAATTTTCAAATGTATCATAGCCTATGTACAGTCTTTCTTTCTAGACTCAACCATGCTTAAGAATCCACTAGGGTACTTGTTCAAAATGCACTCCTCAAGTCCCTATCCCCAGGAAATTCTGCTTCAATATGTCTGGGTAGGGTAGAAGCTGGGTGATTCTGATGC